GACTGGATCTTTTTTATGCTGTTGAGATCCTCACTAAGTTCCTTGAGCATCATTATAACCAGTGTTTTGAACTCTGCATCTGATTGACTGCTTATCTCCATTTTGTTTAATTTTTTTTTTTCTGGAGTTTTGATCTGTCCTTTCATTTCGGCTATGTTTCTTTGTCTCCTCATTTTGGCAACCTCCCTGTGTTTGTTTCTATGTATTAGGTAGAGCTACTACATCTCCCAGGCTTGACAGAGTGGCCTAATATAGTAGGTGTTCTCTAGGGCCCAGCGGCATGGCTTCCCCTGTTATCCAAGGCTGGTACTCAAGGTGCACTCACCATGTGGGCTGTGTATGGTTTAAATGTTTCCTACATGGACTCTTCACTGCCTGCTCTCCAGGAACAGATCCTGCTCCACCTTGCCCCTGCACAGCACTAGGCTCCACTGGGGCCCCAAGCCAGCTCTCCCATCTCAGCAATTAGTCCAGAATGGCCACATGACCCAACCTAGGCCAATCCTTCCTAGAAGAGCAGGAAGGATCCCTTTGACTTTAGGTCCTAACAGCAGAAGTGTCAGAATCTGGGGTTGCCAGGAGCCCCATTTCCCACCATGGGGAGAAAGCCTGGCTCCTGTCAGTTGTTTCATCAAGTAGAGACCAGGGAAGGGGGGGAAGGAGAGAGGGTCTTAATGGGCCTGAAACCCTAGTCCCTGTAGTCCCTAAAGCTGCCTGTCCCACAGCTCTTGTAGGACTCTGTGGGTGCTGTCAGGACTTAAGATCACCTCTTTGGTTTAAGCTAATGTGAGTTGGGTCTCTGTCACTTGCAAACACAGATCCCTGACAAACAATCACCTCTGCCTAATGCCTAACACTGGGGAGCCCACTGAGGTAGGGCAGTATCTGGCTTTGAACAAATAAGTAAATGATAGCCCAGACTGGGGGCTGAGGCCACCTGAAGGGGCTCCAGAAAGCCTATCCCACCCTACCAGAATGTATAGACTTGCTCACACCAACCAAGAGGTATATAAAGAGAAGCTGAGCAATAGAATGCTCAATGGAAGTGCTCAGACAGGAGGGTTTCTCTAAAAGATGTGTGAACAAGTGAAGCATATGGCCCATGGGAGTTTTGTCTTTCTCAGACTGCTCACCATCAACCATCCCAACCCTAGGTCTTCTCTCCACACCCCCACTCCCCAGCCAGAACCTGGCAAGAGAGAGGTGGTACTGAGGCTAACTCTTAGGGAGGGGAGGAAAAAGGAGGAAGACTCATTATTTAGTTGCTTAGGACAGTCACACAGCCAGAATCCGGGGTTTGTCCTGACTGAGGCTGCCACCCCTCTAGCTCCAGGAGCAGGATGGAGCCTGTAAACTAGATGGGCAGTCGGATGCCCTTCCATCTAAGAAAAGGGCTCTCGACCTGGGAGCAAGTCCAAGCCTAGCACTCAGAGAATAAAAATTCGTACTTCCATGGAAACTATGTATTGTCCACAGTGCACCTCTCAGCCTCACTTGAATCTGATTCTAGGAAACTTGTTTACAACTGAGAGCACTGTAGATAAGTAACAGCAATGCAGAATTCTTGTCTATAGACATGCAAGTTTTGTCTTCCTTTCCACTCTGTGAAAATGCCAATGCTGCCTCTATTTGCACATTCATTTCAACATTCCTGATCTATAAATGTTTCTGTTCTTTGGTTCTCTTTGAATAGGTTATAACTCTCTCTGCTTCCCTCATTAATTAGTGATTCAGGAAAAATCTTCAACACACATCATTTTTATTTTCTTTTTATTTTAGGCTCTTCAGCTCCAGCTTTGGACCCAGACTCCCAGCACCAGAGGGCCTCCTTAACCTCTTCCCCTCTCCTTCTCCTCCTCCTCTTCCACCTGCTGGCTCCTGGGGCCAACCTGGCTCTCCCACTAATGGGATTAGTACTCAGCTGTGTGGTCAGCTGTGTGGTCTTAGGTTGAACCAGTTATTTATAGAATGTGGGTGGGTGGTCCAGTGCTCAGTGAGGTGGATGAGTTTCTAACATAGTCATCCTCCCTCTCTCCCTCTCTCTCTTTCTCAAACAGCCCCACATGGTAGTCTTTGCTCTTTGAGTCCCAAACCACATGCTCCGTAAGGGATAGAAGAATTAATAACCAAACAAAGAGGTGGCGGGAACAGACTTTCTGGCAGCTCCTCTCCTCCCTGGGGCTCCTGTAATTGGAGCTGATTTCTACCCCTGCCTTTTTCCTAATGCTGGCATTTCAGATGGAACTCTGCTCTCTTCCCCTTTTCCCATCTCAGTGGATACTGGCCCCCTCCTCCTCCCATAGACACTGTTAGCTTCCACATGTACTGTTCACTCATCAGGTGTTGGGCACTCTGCTGTGTGTGGTTGGGGTTCAGAAAAGTAGAAGAAAAGTCCCCACCCTCAAGGACCTCACTTTCAGAGACTTAGACAAAGCACTGCTTATACACATACACATTAAGACAAATATATGACTAGAATGATGGAACACATAACTTGAGTACTCACTGTGTGCCAAGAGCGTACTAAATACTTTATACATATTTAACCTTCACAAAAAAACCCAACAGCAGATAGTATTATGAAAATATGGCATCTCTCAGACGTTAAATATTGTAGCTGACACAAACTGAGGTATATGGCTATCCCAGAACAAGTTCTCCAATGGCCATTCTATGTCTAGTCCCTCTCTTCATTTGAAAAATTCTATTTCCTTCTCCAGCATACAGTGATTGGTCCAAATGGGTAATCATGTGACCCAAAATTAGACCAATCAGAGTCCTGCCCTGGGAATTTTTACCTGGGAACTGGAGAGGAAACTTCTTTTGTCTTTGGCCACAGAGCTATGGAGATAGGAGTCAGCCTGATGTCATTAAAGGCCAGAATCTGTCACATACTAAAGTTAGAGAGAACTAGGATATCATAGAGAGAAGGGAACATAAACCTCTAGTATCAATTACACTTACAACCAGCTCCATCATGTCCCTCCCACAGTTTGGCCCATGAGCAAGCCAATAAATTACCCTGTTTATCTAGTTTGAGTTAGTTTTCCATCATTTACTACCTACAGAGTCCTAGACAAGGCAGGTCTCTTGTGCAAGGTCACACAGCTAACAAGGGGCTGGCTGCATGCCCTCCTAGCAGTCACCTCGCCTACCATGTGGCCAGATTATGGACCTCAGCCAGCACAGCAATGTTGTGCTGTTTTATTATCCTACAAATGTTTCCAGGGGTCTGGCATGATCACGAGGTTGACACTTCTCATCAACTGTTGAGTTCCCAGAAGTGTGTTACCAGTTTCCTCATGAGAGTCATATCATTATTATCCCCAACTACTTTTGAGAGCTTATGCTATGGAAGGTACCATGCTGTGTGCTGTTTAATGTCCCGAAACCTTGCATGGTGAGTATTGTTAATGCTGTTTTAAGAGCAGGGAAAGTGACTCTCGAGAATTTGCCCCAAGGTCAAAAGAGTCAGACAGTGTGACCCCGAAGCCCATGCTCTTCGCCAATTCACTAACGTTCTCTCTGTGCAGCACTGTGGTCGGCTGCACGTCTGTCACGGCCTCCAAGAACCGCCCACGTTAGACTGAGTGTGAGGTGATTCTATCCCAGCCCTGGCTCACCTGCAGTCATCTTTCGGTCTGCATGAGAATGCAGCTAGCCAACTTACTCACGGGCCTCAGGTCAAAGGGCCCTAATCTTAAGGCCAGTAGAGGCCCACACAGGGGCTGGAGCCTTTGGCTTTTGAAAAAGGCCCCGCTTGAATTCTTTGGGACCCACCATGTGTATGGACCTTCCTTCTCGGCTCCTGTGTTCTAGATGAATGTCTATGATGAGCCGTGAGCTGTCACCTGCAGACTTGGAGGTGAAGCCCCTGCCCTGTTGTCTCCTATGGACATGGCATTTGCCCACTCGCTGCCCTGCTTGCCTCCTCCTAACCAGACTCCACGGTGCCTCAGCATGAGGACCCAGGCCTGACCCCAGCGTGCCACCTCCCTGCCTAGCTGCATAGGAGAGAACCTGGGGTCCTGCCCACTTTCCCCAGCATCTGGCGTGGCCAGCACAGTTTCTACCATAGGTCCCACTTTCACCTACACCAGTTCTCATCCTTCCCAGGATCACAGCCACACGCGTATCTGACAGGCCTTGTGCCGGAAGAGAAACAGTGTGGGGCCCACCTCTGACGCATTCACCCTCCTCCCCTTCCTGGTCTCTGTCGTCTCTGCCGCTTTAGCGCAGCGGTGCCCAGCTCTAAGGTGCTCGCAGGCCACATGCGGTGCGCAGACAGATTCTGTTCAGCATTCACAATGGTTTTTCATGTTAACACTTAGCAATTAGAAGTTTCACTTAGATAAATGGATTTAAATTTTTCCATAAGAGGTTTTTAAAAAGCACTGAAAACAACTGCATTTCTGACTTTTCTTGAAATGCCTTTCTGTGACCCGCACGTCTCCATGAGAGCCACCAGCAGCAGCTAAGCAGCCACCACCCACCTAGGAAATGGCACAGCTCCCTGCTTCACCAGCCTTAAATTTGTCTGTGACCCTCATTTTCCTTGCTTGTCAGGTCTCTGTGAACACCCAAAGTCCACACTGGGAGCCTGAGCCCACCCCCCACCCACCCCCGGCAGGCTGAGAGCACCTAGCCAGGATCCCTGGCTGGCACTGCACATTTTCTCTGGATGAGAAGTCTCAGGCAAGTACTAGTCACTCCTGACCTAGACTCTGAATGTGTCCAAGCCCAGAACCCACTGTCCAAATGCTGAAGCTTGCCAGGGACTAGCGTGTGTACAGCTGAGGTCAGGCTGGGGTGGATGCCAGGCCAACTCAGGCCCATTTCACCACAGAACCCGCTGTCCAGCTGGACCAAGGAGCAAAGAGAGACTCCCCAAGTCCACCCAGAAAACACAAGCCTGAGACAAACAGTGCATACAGGTTATTCCAGTGGTCCCACCCGACCCCCGGCCCAGCCCCCCAGTCCCAAGGCTCAGGGACACTCACAATGTTCATGAGAGTGAGGACATAGTTCTGCACATGCTCCCTGCCGTGGAAGCGCACCACTGAGTCGTCCACTGCCAGCAGTACCTCGATGCTGTAGCTGCCCGGCTTGGCATGTCGCCGCTTCCGCTCCACTTCTCCCAGCTGGCCCCCCACCAGGCCCAGCAGGTTGGGAAGGTCGCCTGGGCCAAAGGCTAGAACAGGATGAGAAGAGACCAAAGTCAAATCCACATAAGGGGCTGCACTATGACACTGCCTATCACCCCACCCCTGCCCCTGTCACATGTGCCCTTCTCCCTGCTTCTGTAAACCCACAGAGCATGAGGGTTTGTTCCATACCAGGTCACTCATGAACAGGAGCCCTTTTCTGGGCACAGGGCACAGCTGCCTTTGAGGCGACGAGTAGCAGAGAAGGGAGAACAGACCTGGGTTCCAGTTCCTCCTGGTTGCCATCTCACCACGTGTCTTGGTCAAGCCCTGCCCCTTCACTTCTCTGGACCTCCATCTCCCTCCCCGTGACATGAACATGGATGAACCTTGATCTCCTGCCCCAAAACTTGCTATGAAAATCAAAGGTGGCAGTGGGCGGAAACATCTTGATAAAGAAAAACCTGTAATGTTCCTGTGGCCGATGCATGACATTTCAGGCATCCCTGTAGCACGCCCCAAGCCTCTCAAAACCCAATCACTGCCAGTGACCCAAAGTCTCACCACTACAGCTTTGGCCTTTTGGCTAAAAAAAAAATGTAGCCCTGGCTGGCGTAGCTCAGTGGATTGAGCGCGGGCTGGGAACCAAAGTGTCCCAGGTTCGATTCCCAGCCAGGGTACATGCCTGGGTTGCAGGCCATAACCCCCAGCAACCGCACATTGATGTCTCTCTCTCTCTCTCTCTCTCTCTCTCTCTCTCCCCCTCCCTTCCTTCCCTAAAAATAAATAAATAAAATCTTTAAAAAATGTTTATATAACTAGGATTCATTAATTTATATAATGTAATCTAGGAGTTGCCACTTTTTCTGCAAATAGTAAATATTTTAGGCTTTGTGAATCATACAGCCTCTGTCTCAGCTATTCAATTCGGCTATTGAAGCACAAAAGTAGCCACAGATAATGCATAAACAAATATGTGTTTCTGTATTCCAGTTTTGTGTTCTAAAACTTTATTGACAAAAACAAGTGGTGGGCCATTTTTGGTCCATAGGCCTTACTTCTACCCAACCTAATCTACCCAATCTAACCTAATCTAATCCAGTCCTTACAACTCTATTAGTTTATTGTTCCCATTATACAGGTGAACAAACTGAGGTTCATAGTACCTTGTCCAGGGCTATCTGGATCCAAAGACCATGCTCTCTAACATCACTATGCATACTGCTACTTATAAAGGCAATACCTTCAACAGTTATCAGTCATTGACACCATAGTCTGAATGAAGACTGAAGAAACATTTGTTGGGGCAGTGGAATGAGGGTACATGAGGACACTACAGGGAAACAAACCTAAGAGAGCTGGAGAGAAGCCTGGGGTCTCTCAAGAAAGCTTCAAAGTCTTAACTTTTAATGCCTTTCCTGCCCTCCCGCCCTGAAGTTCTGATAATTGTTCTACTGATTTCTAAGAACATTCATTCTATCTACAGTTATTTGAGAACCTCACCGAGAGTGGGCCGGGACTAAGGCTGTAAAGATGCCACCACTAAAATCCTAGAATGTATCCAAGGATGCAGCTACAGGAGGGGCCCCAATACTTAAAAGTGGATGGTGGGTAGGTGATGTGCAGGTAACAGGTAAGATGCCAGACTGCGGTAACACAGTAATGTCAAGGGCTGAGTAGGACTGCCTGGCAAAGGCTTTCACACCAAGTGCCAAAGCAGGACGGGGGTGTTAAGGGGGGCTTCTGGAGGAGAGCACATCTAAGCTGGGCCGACGGGAAGGAGGACAACCTGCTGGAGCATAGGGAGCAGAGGGAACGGTCCCTGTGAAACCCATTTGAGCAACTTTGTGAAGACACCATCCACGGTGTGGGTGATCCTTGGGGACGAGTCGTAAGATACCTTCGCAGAGACCCAAGTTCTGCCTCTAAGCCTCTGCTGACAGGTTCTTGAGGAACTGAAATCCAAGGACAGGGCCATCGGAACCACAGGACTCAGTGCTACTGTCTATCTATTTCCCCTGTGGTTAGGGAGCTACAGTGCAAAGGGAAAAAAGCACCAGACTTAAGGACTGAAAAAAAATGTGTGGCCACTGGCCTACTGTGGAAACCAGAAAAGAACGGCTGGCCCCTGGGCAATCACGGCTTGGCAAGCAGGGTCAAGTCCGGGTCACTCTCACCTGCCCCCGAGGACCATGTGTCCCTCTTCGCAGGCTACACTGCACGAGAGCACCTGGCAGCCCTGGGGCCCGGGCCTGACAGTGTGCACAGCAACCCACAGACAAACTGCTGGGAGAGAGGAGGGGGGCCCCCAGGAGGAGAGGAGAAGAAGGGACGAGGGCTCTCTCCGTGGAGTGGGGAGAACCTGCAGCGGTACCTGGAGGTTCATGAACTACAAGAGAAATGTGGATCTTGACCTTCACAGCTCTCCCTGCCCAGTCTGTCAAAGGGAGGCTCAGAGAGGTTGCCTGACTCATCCCAGGTCACACAGCAAGTTGACGGCAGAAGCCCAGAATGTAAACTCAGATCTGCCCCTCTCCCACTATCACTCCCCATCAGGGACCAGCCGATACCCCCCTCAGCAAAAACAGAGAGGGGAGTTGGGGAGGGCCTGCTGGCGTCAGCCATCGACTCCGGAGATGTTCCACCCACACCCTCTTCTGTGTGTCTCTCACCCTTCAGGCCAAAACAGGTGACCCTCGAAATGTGGGGAGATGGGGGCAGCAGGACACTGGGAGGCTTTCAGTGAGCCCACCCAGGCAGCCTCAAGAGAATGTAAAATGACGCAGCTGCTTTGAAAAACAGTTTGGCAGGTCCCCAGGAAGTTAAACACAGAACTGTCATAGGACCCAGAAATTCCACTCCTAGGTATACACCGAAAAGAATCGAAAACATGTGTTCCACCAAAACTCGTCCACAAACGTTCACAGCAGCACAATCATAAAGAAAAACACAGAGACAACCCAAAGGCCTATCAGCAGGTGGATGAACAAACCGTGCCGCATCCACGCAGTGGAGCATCACCCCACCACAGAGGACTGAAGTGCCGAGACTGGCTCCGACACGGAGGGAGTGTGTGTGCTAAACAAAAGGAGCCAGTCCCAGGAGGCCACATACCCTGTCCTTCCATTTACACGAGACGTGCAGAACGGGCAAACGTACAGAGACAGAAGGTGGACTAGTGACTGATTGCCAGGGCATCGGGCCAGAGGGAGACGGGAGTGACTGCTAGTGAACGGGTACAGAGGTTTTTATGGGAATTATGGAAATGTTCTGGAATTCGATAGTGGTGATGGTTACTCAACATTGTGAATATAGTAAGAAACCATGGAATTGTACACTTTAATTAAAATGGTTAAAATGGTGGATTTCATTTCAATTAAACATACACACACACACACACACACACACACACACACACACACACACACAGCAGCCCTGGGCCCCAGCCTGGCCAGCTGCCCTGGCGTCGGGCAGCCCCGGCCTCAGGCAGCCCCAGCTCTGGCCTGGGAGCTGGAACTCTGGCCACAGGCGCACATGGCCCATTGGCATTCAGGAAGGAAGTGGAGGGTGGGAAGAGGTGACAGAGAGCAGGACCATGGGTTACGGAAGGAAAGGGTAGTGCTAGGAGTATGGGAACGCCTGTCCAGGGCACACCCTGCCAGGCCAAGGCAGGGTCCACAGGGAAGCCCCCGGGGGCCTGCAGTGAGGCCCAGCTCACACCTGGAGGTCCAGCCAAGGGAGTCTGTACCCAGGACTTGGAGTGGTTTGGATTTCCCACCAGAGTCCTTGAGAGAGAATCACTTAACTCTTCTTTGGAGCCCATCAAGGGTGTGGGGGATGCTGAGTATGTGACTGTGGGGGGATGTGAGTGGGTGAGTGTCAGTGTGTGGGATGTGTGACTGTGTGGAGGGGTGTGAGTGGGTATTAGCGTGTGTGAATGAGTATGAGTGAATGTGTAAGCTGTGTGACTGAGTGTGAGTGGGTGAGGTATGACTGGTGTGTGTTGCATGTGAATGAGCGAGTGTGTACAGGTGAGTGTGTGAGAATGGGGGGTGCATGCATGCACTCCTCGGGAAGTAGCAGCCAAGGCCATACCCTGATGGGGACAGACAAAGATGGGGGAAGGTGCTCAGCTGGGGGAGATTCCCCCAAGGCCTGTTTCCTGTGGCTAAGCAGGTGCTGACCAGCTGGCCCGGGCCTCTGAGGTGTTTCTCTGTGTGCCAAGAACCAAACCCAAAGACTTGAGGTAAAACCTTTCATCTTCATGAAGAATAGTAAATGGAAGACAGGCGAACCCACAAACGCTTCTCCACACACTGGGCTCAGACCCACTGCTGGTCTGAAACACAGAGTGAGTAAGAGTCACAGGTTTCCAAGAAAGTCTTCCGTCGCCCCTTGTCTTTCCAAGGAAGAACTCCGACGGGCCCAGGGCAAGGCATGGCCACAGGCAGCCTGACGAGAGGGAGTCACACCAGAGTCCTGGCCGGAACTGCAACTCCGCCAGCTCAGTGGTCTGAGCTTCCCAGCCACAGACAGTAACAGGTCACGGGGTTGGTTCCAGCCTCAGACCCATGAGCAGGACTTCCCCAGGGTCTCTCCCCAAAAGGGATTTATGCGTTTTTGATTCAGAACTGCCTTCAAATAAAATGGAGCCTAATGAGCCTTGCCGTCCTTACCTGCCGTGATTGAGGGAATGGTGCAGGTCCCCACCCTGCCCCTGCAATCCTCCCCAGCCCCCAAGGCTCCGCCCAGCCCCCTGCCCCCCACCCCACACCACAGGCCCACAGAGCCCTCCTCCTCTGGGCTAGTGCAGTGCTGCGGCTCTGCTTATGAGCAACATGGAGAGCAGCTGGAGCTTCAAAGGAGGCACTGTATGTAGGGACAACCGGTCTTCAAGCATTCCTTCATGCTATGCTCAACCCCTCCAGGGCCCTGGCTGGAGGGTGTGGTTGCTCATGGCGGGCTTCCACCCAGGGCCTTCTCACGTCCTTTTGGCAAAAGCCTTCATGACCAGGCTAACTGGGACTATGAAGCTGGCCATGGGCCTGGGACCAGCATGTATGGCATCTATTGCTTCACTCGCTCACCCTTGGGTCCTGAGTGCTATGCTGGTCACCAGGGTGCAGGGATGCCTCTGCTCACAGGGGATCTCACCCTGCCATGTCAGTAGTCAGCCTCATAACTGACTAGTAGTCATTAAGCACCTACTGTGTGCCAAGCTCCACTATCACTAATCCATACAATCTCAGAGGTAAACAACAATCCCTCCCACTTTACAGATTAGCAAATGAGGCTCAGAGGTGGTAAGTAACTTGCTAGGGTCACACACTAGACAGCACTGGAGACAGGGTTTTAAAATGGTCTAGTAGACACCAAGCCGACCCCGATGCCCTGACACAGGGCAGGTTCCTTAGAAGTGTTCTAAGAACTTCCTTCCTGTGGCTCCCAGAGGTTGAGTTGAGCATTAGGGGAAAGAGCTAACTGCAGCCGTTCCGCCTGCTACTTGGGCAGAGAAACAGCCTTGCAGAGCAACGCTGTAGTCCCAGGTTCCATTGTTCGGGGGCTCAGGTAGCTCCTCTGGCCCCCAGCTGCAGCCAGTCGTAGTTGCCTCTAAAAACCCCGGGCACAGTAGGTACAGTAGGTCTGCATGGCCCAGTCCCACATTACAGATGAGAAGACTCCGGCCAGGCATTGAGGGGTTTAAGGCCTGCAGTTACCTGAAGACTCCGAGAAGGTATGGGCAGAGGCAGAGCTTGGGGGCCCTGCCCACAGCTTACCTTCGTTGTGGAGGTCCCCTCCGGGCTCCGCCCACTCCTGCTGGACGACTTCCCGGCGGTACACCACGTGTGTCCTCCCACTCGCCTCCTTGTCCTGCTGCCCCCGCTCCAGGGGCTCAATGAAGTAGTCGGTGACATCTGTACGGATGAGGCCAGCCTGAACCGGGGACGCAGCAAGCAGAAGGGGGAGATAGAAGAGTCATGAATACATGGCACAGTACAAGTGAGTATTAGTGAATGCACACATATGTGACCACGTGCGTGTGACCACAGGTAGGCAGGCTGTTCTCCCGGGGTCCTGGGGAGCTCTGGCATCCCGCAGGCCACTGGGAGGGGTCAAAGGAGCTGTGTGAGGGAGCCCATGCCAGTTTCAGGAACAGCAGACCCACTTTCACTGTGCTGTGCACTCGTGGGGTGCTACACACACTTCATGTAAACAACAGGTTCCGGTGCTTAAAGGGGGGCCACTGCCATGAGGATGAGGGACATGCACACACCCCAGGGCACTGCACTGCACCCCAAAGCACTGCCACCATCACGGGGGGTTGCTTTTGCCTGCAGGCAGAGGAGAAACCCTATTGGTAAGCCTCCACTATCTCGAAGGTGGGAGCTGGCCCCCGCTCCAGCACAAAGTGCTATTATTTCAGACTTAAGGCACGTGTGCACGCCGGCCAGGGAAAGCAGCTGTTCGCTGGCTGTAACAAGCCGGGGGATCGTGCCCCGGGAGCATGTGCTCTGGTTTTAATCTAATTTTTGTCTGCATCAAAATAGTCTCTTTAAAAAAATCAGGTATTGGCCTTGGAAATAAAAACATATAGCCTTAGCCAAGCCCAGCCCATGTGTTATGAGGCCCCAGTGGAGGCAATAATCCCCGGGACACTGAACCTATGACTAGGTGTGTGTGAATGTGTGTGAATGTGTGTGAATGTGCGTAGCTGCGCAGCCCTCCCCCACCCCACCCCCAACCCACGGGTCCGCCTGGTAAGAGGGGTAAGACCTGCCCTCCTCCCACAGTGCCTGGAAAATGAAAGGCAATCCTTAACAAATATATGTTTGTTGAATTCCCTCTCTCCTTCAACAAATATCTATTGAGTGCCTACTGCATACCCACACTGCTTCGGGTGCTGGGAGTACAGCTGTGAGCACAAAGAAGCGAATGGAGAGACCATTTTTATAAATGTGCTGGGCCCTCCCCATCCAAGGAGGAGTGCCTTTTTTCCAAGCAGCCACTTTATGAACCTGAAACCCACCAGTTTCCCCAGTTTTCCCGCCTCAGCCTGCTTGAGGTTGCTTCTTAGGGATCCCCTGTGAGACCTACAGAGCACACCCTACGGGGCCTCCCAGCAGCGGCCAGTCCTTTCCATGCCCCTTCCAGCTGGAGCTCTGGGTCCGACAGAAAACCCCACTTTGGATCAAAACCAAGGTGGCAGCCCCCTGTGTCTCACAAGCTGACCCAATCAGGAGGCCAAACATGTTCTAGGGAAAAAGAGTGGCATTATACCAGAATAAGAGTAGGGCTTCCCAGGTAACCATCTTGTAAGGCAACACTCAGTTGTCTACAAAAGTTCCAGTCTGCTTATTAAAATGTCAACAACAAACCTTACATTGTGCGTACTTCCTTTCATTCAAAGCAATTTTACTTTTTTGCCTTGGCACCTGCTATGTGCCAAGGGCAGGAAGAAACAGATCATAAATAAAGCCCAGCTTTCGGCTGTGAGCTGCTCATCACCTGGAGGGAAGGGCCCGCAGAGGAGCAGAATGTGGCCACGTGTTGGGCTCAGTGCTGTGGTGGGCGGGTCTGACTGAAGGGTGGGTATCCAACAGGCTCTCAGGGGCAAGGGGAAGACATTCAACTTGAACCCTCTTGGTCCCAAGTGGAGTTTATTGGCCCCATGACAGACTATGGCAGGGCAGGCACTCGGCTCCCTCTCCACCCTCCTCTCAGCACCCTCTGCAGCAGCTCTGTTCTCCCAGACAAGGCTACGTAGCCCACTCTTGTGGACACATCTCCAGCCTGCCACCAGAGACAAGGAGGCTCTCTTTCTATAGCCCGACCTGCAACAGCCCAAGGGAAACTGTGGTTGGCCCAGCCTGAGTCGCATGGTCACCCTGGGACTCACAGTCCCTGCTACACCCCCATGGCCGGCAGAAAGGTGATGACTACATCAGAGAGGAGAAGCTGTTGGGGGCGGGCAGAAGAAGCCCACCTGAGCTAGAAAGGGTATGTCAGGTAGGGGCCTGGGCAAGGGGACGGAAGCATGAAGGCAGTGTGAGCACCCGGGAGGCATCCAAGCTCACGGGCAGAGGCTGAGCCGGAACGTGGACAGCATGTCCTGGCCAAAGGGCCTCTGCCACAGCAGCCCAGCAGAATCCCCGAAGGAAGGCTGTCTTCCAGGGAACACGGGGCCATGGGGCAGAAGGGCCCAGGGCATTCCTCGCAAACCTCCTGCAGCTCTGTGGCCACGGGGCTTGTGACAGGACTCTCAGCCCAGCCCCGCACCCATCCCATCCCTCCTGCTGTACCCTGCTCTGATACCCAGGGGGATCGTTCTGCTCTGTTCAAGGCCAAGCAAAGCAAGAGACCCTCACAGCACCACTCAGAAGGCCTGCACTTCATCCAGGCTGAAGTCTACAAACCCAGGCTTGCCGGGCACTGCAGCCTTTGCTGCCCTCCAGAAGCAGGCTGGCAGTAGACTTCTCCAGGCCAGGGAGCAGAAGACCCCATTCAGCCACCCCTGCACACTGGGCCATGTGGCATGGCCCTCCCCCGTTCTGAGACTTGGTTAACCAACTACACAAGAAGGATTCTTCTGGGATTCCCAGAAGAATTCTGCCTCACCACCCAGATCTGGTGGCTTGATTTGGCCACCAGATCTCAATGCCTCATATGATGGTGGCAGGTTCCAGAATGATCCACACAGCCCTAGGCTGGGTCGCAAGGCACTGCCTTCCAGCCCACCCCTGCCTGCCCACAAGCCTGGGCCACACCAGCCTTTCAAGATCGTCACACCTGCCTCGGTTTGGGGCTTCAAAACCTCAACAACATCGCCAGTTAGGGCACCTCTAACTTTCGTTTGGATGTCTCTAGTGATAGAGAACTCCCTCGCTCAATATACAATCTTTTCTGTGTGAGGATACTTACAATGTTTTCCTTAGCTGAAGCATACTTACCTACATGCTACCCTTTACAAAGAGTGTGTCATAATAACAGGATCTGCCACTTATACTTATAGATCTTATTGAGTCTTTACAGCAATCCTATGAAATAGCCACAAATATTAGACCCATTTCATGGATAAGGAAACAGAGGCTCAGGATAGCTAAGTAACTTGTCCAAAGTCACCTAGCAAGTAAGTGACAGGCCTAGAACAAGAGCCCAGCTCCATGTGGCTCTTAACCACTAGGCTGCATCACCTCAGGCCATCCTTGGGCCCTGCTTCTGCCCTTCAGGGCCCCTTGGACTGAAGAAACTTTTCTGTCATAGTCCCATTTGCAAATCCCTGGGCCTCTGTCTGGTCTGACCTTGCAAAGCAAGCAAGATATTCCACCTCTGGGCAAAACAAACACACACACACAAACGAAAAACACGGCTGTCCTGGAAGCCAGTCCTCCACCCACCCTGGTGGGAGATGGGGAGAGGTTTCAGCCATCAGCACTCACAGGAACAGAGCCCTTCCACTCCCCAGGCAGAGCAACCCCAGCAGGAAAGGGTTCTCACCCGCACGCCACCCTCATCACACCCTCAGCGTCCCACCCTCAGCACTCCTCTGCCCGAGTGGAGTCCAGCTCCACACTGCCCACTGGCCTCTCCCCAGGCAAGAGTGAAATAATCTGTTTTCCCCACCCTGCTTTAACTGTTTAGGGCTAAGACAACCCTGGACAATATGCAACCTGGATAATAAGTTTCAAGGCCCTCTGTGCCTGGGGGTTCCAGCAGCCCCCACCCCAGGATCAAAGGCAGAACTTCCCCAGCAATTTTCCTTGTCCATTTTGTGCATCGTGTCCAGTCCTGACAGGCAGTTCTTGCCCAGGCCTGGGTGCCCCTCAGCCTCGGAGGGAATGGGCAGGCAGGCCCAGACACCAGATCAGGACGCAGGCTGGGCCAGCCCCTCCCACGAAGCCCTCAGTTTCCCATCCATGACACGAGGGGTTGGCCCGCGATCCCCTCCAGCTCTGCCCTGGCCAGGAAACTGGGCCCCGCGCAGGGCAGACAGCCTGGCAGAGGGAGCTTTCTGGCTCTCTGCCTCCCTGCCAAATTACTCCCGCCTCTCGATTTATGAGATGTTTATGTTTCTGAAAAGTGGTGGCTAATTTTAAAGCTCTAAAATCAACTCAGCTTTCTGTATAAGAAGTAAAGGGGGGTGAGATTAGTTCTACTTAGTTGGAAAAGAAATGTCAACCATATCTGTTTTTACCCATATTTTATTCTTTTGGAAATATAATAAATAAGTAGAAAATACATGTTAGAAAGTTTCTTTTCTTTATGCAATAAAAACAAAATAAAACAAAAATAGCTGGTCACAACCAATTGAGTCCATGTACTAGTCAGACACTCAGGCTATTTTTCTGAATGGAAACTCCAATGGGCAGGCTAGCCCCTCAGCCAAGCTGAAGACCCTTTAATGTAACTGTTTTTTGAGGGGCCTTTTCTAGGAGGTGACTGGCTGATGGGGGAGGCCTGTTTGATATCACCGTGACATTGTTTTAGTTGCAAAGGTGACACCTTCTGCTGCCTCTTCATGCAGAGGCCCCAGGCCAAGCCAGTTGAGGTTTTCCAGGCCTGCTTCCCCTCAGGGGAGCCCCCAACTCCAGAGTGTAATTCCAGGGAGTGAAGGACACTTGTCGGGGTCACAAGAGAGCTGCATGCTGGCTTAGAAACCACCCTGTGCCCTGTCCCTGGCCGTGACTGAGCAAGTTCAGTTGTCAGCAGTAGCCATCATCAGGGTGAGGTCCCAAATATTTTAGCGGATAACTGGAGCCATAGTATTTTGGAATTAGCCTGCATGCATGTAAACAAACACATTTATTCTAAAATTGCATGTACTTGCATGTAAATTGGGAGGCAAGGGTACAGGGCCAGGAAAGAGAGGTCCCAGGAAGGCATCCCCAAGGACAGGAATGCACATCCTTAGACAGTGCAAAAGCCCAGACTCGGGC